GCAGGCGGGGAACCTGCACCCTGCTTGTCCCCTGAGCGCTGAACAGGTGGCTCCCTGCCCCTCCCACCCTGCGCCTCCTTTGGCAATATCCTGCAAGACAGAGACTAGTTTGGCAGGTCTTTGCAGCCCGAGGTGCCAAGCCCAGGGCCTGATGTGTGGCGGATATTGTGGGAGTGATAACGGGAACCCTGGGTTGTCTTGTCCACCCCTCACCCGCCAGTGGGTGGGGAAGCTAAGGCCCAGCTAGAGAAGGGCTTTGCTCAAGTCCCGGCTGCCACAGAGCCCGCCACGGGGCAGCTCTCTCCCCAGAGGGCCCCTGACAGCAGAGGAGGCTGGGAAGGAGACCTGGGCAGAGCCAGCGGGGGCAACGCCGTGGGGTGTCTCAGGCTCTGCGGCTTCTTAGCCGTGTGCCTTTGCGAAGTGGCCTCACGGCGCCGGGCCTGACCCCTCGTGTCTCAGATGGGTGGAATAACGCGCCCGTCTCACAGGGCCGCGGAGGGCGTTCATGAAGTAACTGATGTAGATGCCTGCTTGGGTCTGGCGTGAGGTTGGCACTCGACTGGTACTCCTCGACGACTTCTAGGACGTTTCTTCTGGTTGCTGGAACCAGGCACAGGCAGAGCCGGGTCTGAATCCCAGCCTCACCACGTACCGACTGTGACATGCTGAGGCCGCTTTGTCTTTCTGAGCCTCAGTTTTCTCATCTGAGAAACGAATCCAACGATCTTTTTGAAAATATTTTAATATTTTAATTTTTTTGAGACAGAGTCTCGCTCTGTCACCCAGGCTGGAGTGCAATGGTGCAATCTCTGCTCACTGCAACCTCCACCTCCTTCCTGGATTTAAGCGATTCTCCTGCCTCAGCCTCCCAAAGTGCTGGGATTACAGGCGTGAGCCACCGTGCCTAGCTTGACGATCTTTATCTTGATGTCCTGTGTTTTCGGCAGCCAACCCAGTGCTCAGTCCCAGGCGAGGAGTGAAGAGTTCTTCATTTACAGCGTATGAGGCACTGTTGACAGTCACCACGGCCGGTGGGATGCAGTTGCTGTCTGCGCTTGATGAAGATTCCTTTAGGCTGCGGTATTGCTCTGCCTACCGTGTGCCGGGGGAGGGGGCCGCATGGGAGGATGCGCTGTGCTGGCCACTGCAGCCCCCGACGGTCCAGGGGGGCCGGACAGTCACCAAGGAGTCACCCTGGGAGAGATGAGCTGCCCAGGAGGAGGGCAGGAGGGAGCCTGGAACAGGTGGCCCGGCCAGGTCCTTGAGTGGCCTCGACCTTCAGGAGAACGTCTGGCTTTAGCTTGGGAACCGTGGGAGCTGCTGAAAGGGCATTAAGAAAGGGGCCTCGGTGGGTCCACAAAAGCACCCGAGCCGAGCAGAGGAAGGGGAGGACCTTGGGGCACCTGGAGAACCTGGGAGGTGGGTGCTGCCATCCAGACAAGCTCAGATGGAGGGGCGGCAGTGGACACACAGGTGTGTGGCCTGGAGAGGTGTCGGGGTGGTTTGGAAATGAGAGACGAGGGAGAAGGTGGAGTCAGGCGTAATTCAGGTGACGAGACCGAGGCACAGAGAGGTTCAGTGAGGGGCCCACAGTCACACAGCCAGTGGGGTCAGGAGCAAAGCCTCCATCCCAGCATCTGTAGGAGGTGGCAGCTGGGCCTGTGGACATCCTGCGGCCTGGCGTGCACGTTGCGTGGAGGTGGCAGGCGGGTCAGAGCCAGCAGGAGTGACACCGGCGGTGGCATCATCGTGCTTCATTTGCGGTGCTCCTTAGCGCCAGGCATAATGGAGATTGATTGGGGCGTCTGCCGGCGAATGGGATACCCATTCTGTGTTGCCTGAAGCTCCATTAGGCAGAGATCGGGCCTATAATGGAAGAGCTTGGGAAGAAGGTGCTGGAAGGAGATAGGGCCAGAGGGTGGCCGAGTGCCTGGGCCTCCTGGTGGCACATGTGATGGGAGGCCCTGGGGACCCCGAGTGAGAGAGGCCTGGGTGCAGAGCCAGCCAGCCTTGCCTGGGGAGATGACTTGACCTCACCGGCCTCAGCTTTCCGTCTGTGAAATGGAGGTTGAGCTCAGGATAGGACCATACAGAACTTAGCAAAGGCCTGGAGCATAGTCTGCGCCCAGGACCTGCTGGGTGCTATTATTTTTATTTTTAATCACTTTATTTTATTTTTAGAGACAGAGTCTTGCTCTGTTGCCAGGCTGGAGTACAATGGTGTGGCCTCGGCTCACTGCAACCTCCGCTTCCTGGGTTCAAGCGATTCTCCTGCCCCAGCCTCCCTAGTAGCTGGGACTACAGGCGCATGCCACCACACCCAGCTAATTTTTTATAGTTTTTTTTTTTTAAGTAGAGAAGAGGTTTCACCGTGTTGACCAGGATGGTCTTGATCTCCTGACCTTGTGGTGCTGGGGTTACAGGTGTGAGCCACTGTGCCCGGCCTGGGTGCTGTTATTATTACTGCTGTGTGGCAGCTGGAATCCAGTAACTGGTGGGGGGTGTTGGTTGGCCTCTCTGATTTGGGATGTGTCAAGGTCTGCCAAGCCAGAGCCCAGCTAGCCCAGAGATGCTGCCCTCAAGATGATGAGTCAGTGCCGGGACCTGAGGTCCGCTGACTGCAATGTCCAGGCCCAGGCCCAGGTGTGGGTGGAAGCTACTGATGGGGGAGCATAGGGACAACTCCAGAGAGGATCAGCTTCCGTTCTGGGGGGGCGGATTATGTGAGTCCAAGAAGGACATGCAGAGAAAGGACAAAGGATGAGACGGGCCACCTTGATGAGGCTGCGTGGTGGTCGGAGACCATCCTTTGCCTGATTTTACCAGGTGAACATGCAGGAGGTTTAGAGAGGGTAAGGGCCTGGCTCAGGGTCACACAGCAGCTGTCGCTGGGAGCAGGCCTGCCAGCTCTGGGGCCTGGGTGCTGTCCCCCTCTGTGAAAGAGGGAGGTGATCGTTTATCAGGGTAGTTTAATAATGAATGAAGTTGAAGCGTCTTTAATGCAGGCCTGAAGTAATAAGGGACCCTGTATTAATTCAGAAACTAATGAATATGCAGGTGTGTCTGACTGATTAATGGGGCTCCCGAAGGCCTTAGAAAGGGGTACGTGAGCTGCTGCTGATGGAAATATGAATATTACATACATCTGGGAAGTCGGATAAACCGGAGAGCCAGATGGGCATCAACCAACCAGAGGGCTCTAGCAGCCGAGACTGGAATATGCATATTTGTGGGGACAAATGTAAACGGGCGTGGGGAGCACGTTCACTCCTTGCAATGTGATCGCGGGGACATCACTTAACCTCTGTGAGCCTTACTTCCCTCACCTGCAGAACAGTGTGAAAATAATACCTGGTCTCTAGGATCCTGAGGATGAAATGGGAGAGAATCCCTTAACAAGGGCGGGCTCGTGGGGAGCCTCTGACGGACACTGGTACAGCCTCTTTAGAGAAGAGGGCGGAGAAGTGGTTGAGGAGGGCCAAGGAGAGTGTAACTAGCAGTTAACGGCCGGGCGCGGTGGCTCACGCCTGTCATCCCAGCACTTTGGGAGGCTGGGGCGGTGGATCACGAGGTCAGGAGTTCCAGACCATCCCGGCCAACATGGTGAAACCCCGTCTCTAGTAAAAATACAAAAGTTAGCCGGATGTGGTGGCGGACGCCTGTAATCCCAGCTACTCGGGAGGCTAAGGCAGGAGAATCGCTTGAACCCGGGAGGTGGAGGTTGCAGTGAGCTGAGATTGCGCCATTGCATTCCAGCCTGGCCACAGAGCAGTTAAATTCCCTGAAGATGGGCGGTGCTTCTGTTGCACTGACAGCAAGGAGGAAGAACACAGATAAACGGCACTTTTCAGTTTATAAAGGGGAGTTGCTCAGCGGGTGTCCTTTTTCCTCCTTCTTGCAGCAGCTGCGTGGGGCAGAGGAGATGGGTCTTGGGGAAACTGAGTCTCCGAGAGGGCTGGTCCCTGTCCGTGTCACTGGGCCAAGTGAGGGCCAGAGTTGGTCCTGGGCCCAGGTCTGCCCGCACTGCCTGAGAAGGGCCTTTCCAATATTTGCCAGGCCTGGGGCTAGGGGCCAGGGTCATCGCTCAGAGCCTCAGTTTCTCTCCCTGTCATGTGAGGGTGTGTCTGCCACTGAGGGTTGCTTTGAGGCTCTAATGAGGAAGTGGGACACTGTCCCCTCACCTATGCTTGGCCTTTGGGGAGTCCCAGACACCGTCTCTTTGATGGTCAGCCTGCTGCATCAGCTGGACTTACATTTGGGGAATCGTGGCTGAGGGGCTACTTTAGCTGTGGGCTCTCAGCACGTCTCTTGTCTCTCAGCCTCAGTTTCCCCATCCTTTACGTAGGCACGACAGTGTGGCTGCCATGTGTGAAGTGTGCAGGGCCTGGCACACAGCGGGTACTGGATGGGTGTGCTCCTGTCCCCAGACCTGTGTGATGGCCTTGTACAAGGTGGCTCTCTTATGTTCCCAGGGTGATGATTTTCAGCTGTGGGCATACACAGAGAGCCTGCCTGTCCAGGCAGAAGGTAGACGTAAAACCAGTGTCCCTGTCATGCGAGCTGGGATGGGGATGGGGAGCCAGAGGGTAGAGAGGGAAAGAGACGCCCGTTCATCTCCCTGTCTTCCCCACCAGAGCCCCAGCTGGAAGCCCAGGCTTTGGCTGTGAGTCCTCCGCTCGCAGGAGGCGATGCTCACAGAATGGCTGTTTGAATGCAGAGGGAATGAACGAACGAATGGCTGGTTTCTAGGCCCCATCTCTGCCTCTTCTCAGTTCCAGGCAGTGAGCGGGGCATAGGCAGGCCCCCACTTGACTGTCTCCGGGATCCGGGGTGATCCTGTTGAACAACCTCCTCTCCTCCCCAGCGCCCTGGGCCAGCCTGGCCGGGGTCAGAGAACTGTGAGTTGCTGGGCGAAGCGCCTTAGGAGTCATGGTCATGGTGCAGCCTGCTGCTGACAAGCCAGGAAACCGAGGCCCAGAAGGGAGAGGGTGGTGGGAGGGGCAGGGCCGGGGTTAGAGCCTCTGTCTTGGCTGTGCCAGGTGGGTGGCCCTGCAGTGTCTAGCCTGGTTGTGTATTTATAGTCCCCTCCTGTTCTATATTAACACCCAGGCCTGCCCAGCCCTTTGCAGCCTCCGGATCTGAGGATGCTTTTGAACCCTCTGGGGGACTATAGAATCAGAACTCACCCCCATGGGGAGGAGCAAATGCGGCTTCTCACCCTTCCCTTCACAGCCCTGGGGCTCACACTGGGCCCTTTGCCTGCAGGATCTTTGCCAGCCCGCGCGAGGCTGGGGCCACCCTTTGGTGGGTTCAGCTTCTTCGTCTGGGGTTCGTTATCACGCCTTGCTTCCCTCTGGCTTGGCAGGGAGGCCGTGTGTACAGCATGAGATGAATGCATGGGCTCCATGGCCTTGGGCAAGCCAGGCCCCGCTCCAAGCCTCAGTCTCCTCCTCTGCAGAATGGGCATCATTCCCACGCGACTCTCCTGTGCCAGGCGCTGGGCACTCCATGCTTGTGAGCTGGGGGTCACTGTGTACACTCCTCACGTCTCTCTGGGCCTCATCACAAGCAGCCCTCAGAGCCTGGAGGGACCGGGGTGTCATCTCCATTTGACAGATGAGGCCAGTGAGGCCCTGCCACAGCGTGACGTACCAGAGCCATGCTGCCTGTTGGGGCAGAATTCGGACTCATCTAAGTCTGAATGGTCCAGCTTCCCAGGCCCCTCCCCAGGGCCCGTGGGCTCCTTGGGGCAGGGCAGACTCCTCACCCCACCAGCTTGGTTCCCGCCCCCGGTCGCCATGGGGAGAGCTCCACTAACTCTATGCTTTTCTTACAGAGCAGAGACGACTGGCTGCCCTGAGCGCAATTCAATTCAACAGACATTTACTGAGTGCCTACTATGCGCCAGGCCTTAGGCTGGGCACTGGGGGAGGGGCGCAGAGAGGAAGATAGGGTCCTGTCCTCAGATAGCTCCAGGCTGGGGGGCGTGGAGAGGACAGGCAAAGGCTGAACAGCTCAGCACCAGGAGAGAAGCCGCTTCGTGGGCTGGATGCAGCAGAGCCCCGGGTTCGAGTGCATCACGGACAGCTGCCATTCCTCGTCCGCACCTCAGTCTCCCCATGTGCAAAATGGGGGAGACGATCTCTAGGACCCATGCAGTATTCCAAGAGCGATACCTCGGGGTTGTGGGGACAGAGCAGAGGGGTCACCCTGAAGAAGGGAGGTCTCCAAAGGCTTCTCAGAGGAGGTGGCATAAGGTCCGGACCCAGGGGATGGGGACAGGTGAGCATGGCTCCTAGGGTTAGGACCAGCGTGAGTGAAGGTCTGGTGCACGTGGCTGTAGGCATGTCCCCAGTTCCATAGGGTTTCGAGGGGACATGTTGGGGTGGGAGTGAGCTTAGAGAGGGACAGAGGGGTTCTAGGGCCACAGGTCGGGGTGGGAGCCATTGCGGGCTGTTGAGGCATAGCCAGGAACAGCTGGTCCTGCTCGGTACCACCTCCTTCTCCCTCCCTCTCTGGGACACACTTCAGGATCACTTCCCGTAGAACCTTGCAGCCATGTGGCCTCTGTAGCACCTGCACTGTGCCAGGCACTGTGTACATTAGTCCTCACCGGGCCCCAATTCACAGAGGAGGATGCGGAGCTCTGACAGGAAGCTTCTTGCCCATGGCTACGATCTGAATCCCAAGGCCCCCATGCTTCTCCCATTACCTCCCACTGAGAGGGTTCCTGTTCTCTGCGAGCTCTCCCATCCTGGGGATCCCCCCCAACAAAGCCCTGGGGAGTGCCCACCGAGGGCAATACAGGTGGGTTTGGAGGGCGGAGGTAGGAAAATCCCAGATGTTGGCAGGACTGGCTTTCTCCAAGACCTGAGTTTCTGCCCCAGCAGCCACCCTCTGGGATAGCGTGAGGCGGGACTCCTTCCCACTTTACAGATGCGTAGACTGAGGCCCTGAGAGTCATGTGGCTAGTCCAAGGTCAAACTCAAGGGAGTGACAGCCTAGGCTAGAAGCTGGTCTCTTCATTGCCCAACTGAGGCTGGAGGGAGGCTCAAGTCCCTTGAGATCTGTGCAAAACCTGAGCCCCGCCCCCCCTGCCCCCGACCTCCCCAGGTAGCAGAGAAGCCCAGCCCTGGAGTCGCAGACCTGGTTCAAATCCTGGTTTTGTCTTTGCATGAACTGTGTGATCTGAGCAAGTCATGAATTACTCGGGCTTCGATTTCCTTATCTATAAGAGGGCGACGAGCTGGCCTCCTTCACTCAGCCATGAGCAAATATTTATTGAGCACCTACTGGGAGAAGCAGGGCCCTTCCTCGGGAACTCAGTCCAGAGGTAGCAGCAGCAGTTATGATTCCGGTTGTGATGGAGGAAGTGCAGGGAGCTGTGGGGACCCATAGGAGAGGCGCCAGCCAGGTGGGTCGGAGAGAGCAGGACGGGCAGCGGCTCCCGCAGGACCACGTGGGCCGCGTTCTGGATGCTGTTGGAATTTTCCCAGATCAGCCGCAGCCAACGAAGGCTTTCCAGCAGGGGAGTGCTATGCTCAGGTTGACGTTCTAGAAAGCTCATCCTCTGCTGGGTTTGGAGTGGGGAGGTAGGGTTGGAGGTAGAGAGGCAGCAGGAGCAGTGGGGCAGAGGGCCAGCACCAAGGCGGCAGTGGGGGCAGCCGGGCAGGTGTGGCTGCCTCTCACCGGGTCTGGGAACTGCAAGAGAAGTGGGGGAGGAGGGGGAAGGGGCCGTGGGAGATTAGCCCAATCGTGGAGGTGGACATGGATGAGTGAGTTTCAGGTGCCAGGGAAGGCCGCCCCCCCGGAAGGCTGCTGGGTATGGTGGTTTGGGTATGGTCAGCCCAGAGCTGACATTAGAAACCTTGGTGGGAGGGGGGCGCTGATGGGCTCTTGGGGTGGGGGAGGGGGAAGCAGGTTTGAGAAGGGCAGTGAGCAGGGACCAGGACATCAGGGGAGGCCACTGCTTGGCGTACAAGCAGAGGAGCCCGAGGGGACACAGCCTAGGAGGTCTCAGGAAAGCAGAGCTGCAGGTCCCCAGCCCGGGAAGGAGGTGGCGGGGCTTAGGTCTGCGGAGGGATTTCAGAAGGCGGCGTGTCAGGCTCTGTGCCCTGCACCGTTGCAGAGGAGGTGCCTGGGAGGGTCAGCTCCTGAATCTTTTCACCCGAAGGCAGAAGCTGAGTTTCTGTCCCTTGCCCTCCTAGGGAGGAGGAGGCTGCAGAGGGGGAAGTTTTCAGGGAAGGAGGACAAGGGAAAAACATTTGCATGCATGACAAGGCTGAAGTGAGAGAGAGAGAAAGGGGGAGAAAGAGAGGAAGAGAAATTACCATACACCAGGATCTTGTTATTCAAGCTAATTTTCAAAGGACCACAGCTGTCACACTGAGATAATTCGTTAATTATAACAGCCATTGTGCTTTGGCAGTGGGAGAGGAAACCGAGGCCGGGGAACAGGCTGAAGGTGGGGGTGGGAGCAGGCCGCTGGGGGGCCTGGACTTCAGAGAGGGGACAGGGAAAGAGGCGAGGAGAGGTGCATTACCCTCAGTACTGAAAGGAAGACTGCCAGGTCAGGCCCTGTCCCTCCTCACTGTCATTGTTGCGGTGCAGGCCTGTGCCACGTGCCATGCACCAGCCTCCCACAGCGACACCTGCAGGAGGCAGCTTCCTGGCGTAGTGACTGCCCAGACCCTGGCCTGTGGCCGTCCCCTCTGCAGCACGCTGAGCTGGTGCCCTTCTCGTCGCACTTTACAGAAGAGGAAACTGAGACCCAGGGAGGACTAGCTTGCCAGGACCGGGGGTGAGGTGGCATAGCCTGATTCGAGCTGAACGTGGACCCTGCACTTCGGCAGCACGCTAGGGAGGGCCGGTCTTGGTGGACTGGCCACGTGGAGTTGGCAGACACAGGAGCTGTCACATAAGATAGCCTCACGTTCGGCCTGTGGTTTCTGCCCAGCCGGTAGTCCTGGGGCGGCCCTCCCCCGGGAGTTTCCGGGGCTCCGTGGCGACCCCTCTGCGGACAGAGCCTCCTTGTTCTCTGATGCTGCAGCTGCAGGCCCCCCGTAGCCTCGCAGGCGGCTGTCAGTCTGGGCTGGGCTCTCCCACCTGCTCCGGAGAAAGTGGCTCTCAGGGCGGGGGGAGGGAATTTGGACTGTCCCAGATGGTGTCTATACTGACCCCTTGCCACTGTCTGGTTAGAGGTTGGGAGGTGACAGAAGGTGAATGGGATTTCTCAGCTTGGGGCTGGAGGGCCTGGAGGGCTCCAGGACCCTGGGTGCTGAGGCCTGGTAGAGACAGGGGGCTGGGGAAGGCAGGCCCAGGTGAGCAGAGTGAGGGACCCTAAGTCCGTGGGGAGAAGGGTGGGGCCCAGAAGTCATTCCAGAAACCCCAGGTCCCCTTGAGCTTCAGTGTGGCTTCAGGAACTCAGGTCCTGGCGTTCACAGCCTAGAGACAGCACCTAGGCTAGGCCAGCTGGTGGCGTTCTGTGGGGGTGGGAATAGTGTCTGGGAGAGGGTACCCCTCAAACCCCAGAAGGACCCCCAAACTTGGCCCAGACAGCGTTGTTGGCAGGGGAGCAGTGGGCCCCAAAGGGCAACAGGTGGGCCTAGGGTGGTCGTGTGGGGGCCCCCTTGGCTTGGGGAGGGGGACTTCTCCCCAGTTGAGCTGCTTGGAGCCAAGGGGAAGCTGTCAGAGTCACCAACCTGTAGAGTTGGTGACTCATGGAGGCCAAGACACAGGAGACTTTTAGGACCAAGCAAGTGACAGATACACCCTAGAACCCTCAACCCAGACTCCCCGAATGACAGATCCACACTGTTGGTGTCCTGGTGCTAAAATACAAGAGCCATGGGTCAGGAGGACAGGGGATGGGGTTCCAGGTCAGTCAGGGCCAAGTGCAGGAGGCAGGGACTGGGGCAACCCTGGGTCCCTGGCTGAGAGGCTCATAGGATTACCCCGACAGGCTGGGGCTCTGCTTGTCCCCACTCGGGGCTTCCCCCTTGTGGCTGGCCTCATAAACTCCAGGGTGCAGGGGTCAGCTGGCCACCCAAGCCAGAGAGGCAGGGAGGAGCCTGGACGCAGCCCCGCGGTGCCACTGCCGTCCCTCCAGGGATGCGGACCCGGGAAGCCAGATCTTCCCCGTTTCTCAGTGGATTCCAGAAATGGGGATTTTTGAAACAAAATCTGCCAAGTTTTCAATATTGGCAACTGATTTTAAAAATGTGAAAACCACCACCCAGCTGAGACAGGATCCCACTGCGTCTCTCGAACAGAGCCCGGGGGCGTGGAGGGTGGAAGCCACTGCGTAGCAGCTGTGAGACATCAGTTTCCTCATCTGCAAAGTGGGAATAGTGGCAGTGCTTTTAAGATGTTTAAAGTTGACTCAGGATTAAATGAGTTAACGTGGGAAGTGCGGAGGCCCAGCCGGTGCAAGCACTGAAGACTCTTCACCTTGTCGGAGGCTGCCCATCCCTCCCCGGGCCACCTCTCAGGGGGCTTCGCTCTCTGCCACTGGAGCCTCCACTTCCCCCTGGGGGCCCCCACATGCCCTGCCCCTGTCTTGGGACAGCCCTGAGGATGCTGGAGGGCAGGGAAGCATTTGCCCCTTGGGACCCTGGAGGAGGAGCAGGCGGAGGAGGCAGAGCTGGGAGAGCGGGCCTAGCCGGTGCCTGGTACATAGTAGGTGCTCCATAAATGTTTATTGAATGAATGAATGGAGGCCGTGCAGGCAGAGGCAGCCGTGCTGCGCAGGCACTGGTGAAAGAGCGGGTCCAGTGGAGACTGGTGAGTAGTGCCCAGGGGCTGCAGCTGAGGGGACCAGGAGGGGCCCGGGGTGGGGGAGGTGAAGGTCAGGTTGGGACAGGGCAGGGGTCAGATGGGGAGAGGCCAGGGGTCGGGAGTGGGAAGCAGGGTCAGGTGGGGAGAGGATAGGGGTCAGGTGTGGGAGGCAAGGACCAGTGGGGGATGGCTACAGGTCGGTGGGGAAGGTGGGGTCAAATGGGGTGAGGCCAGGGGTCAGTTGGGGAGGTGGGATCAGGTGTGGGAGGCAGAGTCCATGGGAGAGCTGGGATCCAGGGGAGGAGAGGTAAAGGTCAGGCTGGGGAGAGAGGGGGTGAGGGAAGAGTCTCCTGAGTGGCCTGGAGGATTCTGGGGAAGGCAGGAAGGATCCCTGAGGTGGTGCCAGGAGGTGGGTTTTTAATACAGGTCATCCTTGACTGTGGGACAATCCTGTCCCCAGGTGCCTGGTGGTGGGTGGGCTGTGGGGGTTCGGGGGTTGCCGGGGAGTGGGCCCTCCCTGTTCACAGGCCGTGAGGCTCAAGTCTCTCCTGTCAGGCCACGGGGTGGTTTGCCAAGGCCAAGAGCTTTGGTAAAACCCTCCACCCCCTGCCTCTCTCCTTCCACCAAGGCCTTGACAGAGTAGGTACTAAAGATGACTGTGGCACCTGTGAGCAGGGGAGGCACGGGGACCAGGTGAGCCATGGGGGGTGACATGGTGGGCAGGTGACAGGGCTTTGGGGTGGCCCCAGCAAACCAGAGACACATGTGTACTGTGGTTTTCCTCCAAACAGATGAGGAAACTGAGGCCCAGGGAGGTGAGGTGCCAACTTGCCCCAGGTCACGCTGCAGCCCAGCGGCCCAGCCCCAAGCCCCTTCTTTGGCTGAGGTTACCCCTGGAGAGGCGTGTCCAAAGCACCTCAGCCTTGCAAGAGCCCCTGACTCCTTGACTGTCAGCTGCTGGTGCTGTGTCATTCTCTATAAGTTCTTTTGAGTAAGAAGGCAACCTAGTGAAGGGGAGGCAAGTCTGTCTGCCCCAGGGCCAGGTACATAGTAGGTATGCAGGGAATACATGTGGAACATGTAAGAAATGTGGGTGGGGCCAGGTGCCGTGGCTCACACCTGTAATCCCAGCACTTTGGGAGGTGGAGGCAGGCGGATCACCTGAGGTTGGGAGGTTGAGACCAGCCTAACATGGTAAAACCCTGTCTCTACTAAAAATTCAAAAAATTAGCCAGGCATGGTGGCGCATGCCTGTAATCCCAGCTACTCGGGAAGCTGAGGCAGGAGAATTGCTTGAACCTGGGAGGAGGAGGTTGTGGTGACCCGAGATCACAGCCATTGCACTCCAGCCTGGGCAACAAGAGTGAGACTCTGTCTCAAAAAAAAAATTAGCCAGGCACAGTGGCGCACACCTGTAATTGCAGCTACTAGGGAGGCTGAGGCAGGAGAATCGCTTGCACCTGGGAGGAGGAGGTTGTGCTGAGCCAACATCACGGCCATTGCACTCCAGCCTGGGTGACAAGAGGAAACTCGTCTCAAAAAAAAAAAAAGAAAAGAATGAAATGTGGGTGGGTGTGCGGCTGCTTGGGCATCATGCCTCACCCAGGCAGGGCCCCAGCCTGGGACTGGTCCCTGTTTCTCTGTGACACAGACGCAGCCATGGCCTGCTCACCCAGTGCAGGATGACACAGAGCCTGGAGCAGGTGCCAAGTGAGGGGCAGGAGCCAGGTCCCCTGGGACCTGGAGCAGCTGGTGGCAGGGCTGAGGCTAACGAGACATGATTGAATGGGGTGGATGAACACCCAGCACCTTGGGCAGGGAGACCTAAGCAGATACTGCCCAGAGCTGCCTGAAGACCTTGTGAGGGCACCAGGGCTGCCTGGCCATGTGTGCCAAAGGGGCCTGGGGGATTGTTGACATCTAGGACAAGGTGAAGACACAGCGCTGGTACCTCCTGACTCCCACTGCATGAACAGAAGCAGGGAGCCCAGACGAGGGAGGTGGGGGCCTCTGGAGCTGATCCTGCTCCGAATGCATCGGCACTGACGCTTGGCTCCAGGCGACGAGTTGTGAGAGGGACCTTGACAGCAAGCATGACTTGGGCAGCTGGACCCAAGGGCAGGAGGGAGTTGACACCACAGCACAGGAAGAAGAGGTAGAGGACGCGGTGCTGTTCAGCCTGGATAAACGGAGCGATGATAGACCGGTAGATGTCGGAAGAGCCTTTATGGGGTACTGGCCTCGTCCCTAGTGGCTCCAGAGAGTGAGCTGGCACCATGAACAGAAGCACAAGGATCCAGACTTGGCTTTGTAATAGAAGAAGAAATTTCTAGCAATCAGAGCTGTTCAGGAAGGGAATCTGGGCTGGGCACGGTGGCTCGTGCCTGTGATCCCAGCACTTTGGTAGGTGTAGGTGAGTGGATCGCTTGAGGTCAGGAGTTCAAGACCAGCCTGGGCAACGTGGTGAAACCCCATCTCTACCAAAAGTGCAAAACATTAGCTGGGCACGGTGGCAGGCACCTGTGGTCCCAGCTACTCGGGAGGCTGAGACACGAGAATTGCTTGCGGCTAGGAGGCAGGGGTTGCGGTGAGCACCACTGCACTCCAGCCTGGGTGACAGGGCTAGCTAGACTGTCTCAAAA